CACGCAGCCCTGCCTACAAAAGTCTGGTTCTTCCTCCTGCTGCAGTCCAATCTCCAAGTCCGCATCTTGAAGACAGAGAAACAAAAGTCACTGTATTGACAACAGCAATTTGGCCTTACTAATGCAAGATATTATGTCACGCAACATGGAAGTTTATGACAGTAATTAGAATGGAGCTAAATGCTGCCTGTAAAGATCCAAAGCACAGTGCAGAAAGTGTGACATGCTGTATCTCAATTGACTAAAAGTGCAATGTGGGACCAAGGAGGTTATACTGGAGACATTATACAATGTAACCTCTTTTGTCAGACTAATTGTTTGAAGATGTGAAAAGGAGTCTAGAAAAGTGTAACATACTATGCAATTAAAAGCAGTGAAATCTTTCAAGACTGGATGATTGGATTAAAGGATAGAAATTTATTAGCCTGGGTGTGTTGCTGAACAAATAAAATATACTCACAAGTTACAACTGTGCCCACTGTCTTCTCTCACTGCTTTGCTGTCTTCATTTCCTTCTGCATCTTCAAGTCAAATGGTTTGTTGAGCTGTCATCGCAGGTTTCTCTCAGACTGGACAGCCTCAGCACACGCCTAAAATAATATAAAAGGATGTGATGGAAAAACATCCCCAGGCAACACTGAATAATCAAACTAAAGATAGCATCATGCAATTCAACTATCCCATTGATTGAATAGATTTTGAAAGAGTTAGGCTCTAGAAAACTGCTTTTAAAAGTGTTACAAAAAGTGTTACAGAATGTAATGTACTGTACTTATAGCATGTTACACCTCAGAGTTCTTATTAATAATAACATGTGAGGCAAGGAATAAGTCATGTAAGTTGCTTGAATCGATGTACAAAAAGATAGGCTTTTCAAAGTGTTACTGGTAGCAAGCTATGCCACAGCTCTTAATAATACATCCAATAGGAAAGGAAAAATATATGACACTGTTGTTAAGTATTGTCTCACCTGCATAACCAGGTACAAACTCTGTGTCTTCAGGTCAACTGGTTTGCTCAGCCGTCATTGCAGGTTTTTCCCAGTCAGGACAGGAACGTCAGGACACACCTAACTAATATAATGAATAATTAGTGTGATGTGTGATGCTCCCCCCAAAAATTTCCAGACAACTAGGTGACTATGAAAGATAATGATAAAATCCTGCAATTTAACTATCTCTTTGCTTAGATGATGCTTGCGGTTGATTGATTGCTTAGCTATGTACAAAGTGTTGCTTATTAGTTGCTTGTTATTGCCTCTCAGTTCTTAACACACAGAAAAAATAAAGTTGGAAAGCATTGTCTCACCTGTACGATCTATTCCCTCTGTCTTTAACTTCAAAGTCAGCTGTCTCATCTAGCCTGGTTTGGACAGGAACATCAGGACTGCTGACCCTATTATACCTACATAATTATAAAAGAACAATTGATGCCAGGTACATGGCTATTGTGCATGAATGGGTAATGGACACAATCTACCATACGGCACAAACACAAAAAAAAAAACAAGACAAGTCCATAAAACGCATTAGGATATGGATAATTGTTTTCATGCCATCTTTGTTACCTTTGACCCGACTAAGGGACCATCTATTGACTCGAGAAAGGAAGGGTACAACAAAAGTCATTGTGCACAAGACAAAAGTCAGTGTATCAGTTAGACAAAAGTCTGTACGGAAGACAAAAGTTGTGTACGGAAGACAAAAGTCAGTATGGAAGACAAAAGTCAGTGTACGGAAGACAAAAGTTAGTGTAGGGAAGACAAAAGTCAGTGTATCAGGAAGACAAAGGTTAGTGTAGGGAAGACAAAAGTGTACGGAAGACAAAAGTTAGTGTAGGGAAGACAAAAGTTAGTGTACGGAAGACAAAAGTTAGTGTAGGGAAGACAAAAGTTAGTGTAGGGAAGACAAAAGTTAGTGTACGGAAGACAAAAGTCAGTGTACGGAAGACAAAAGTTAGTGTAGGGAAGACAAAAGTTAGTGTAGGGAAGACAAAAGTTAGTGTACGGAAGACAAAAGTCAGTGTACGGAAGACAAAAGTCAGTGTATGGAAGACAAAAGTTAGTGTAGGGAAGACAAAAGTTAGTGTAGGGAAGACAAAAGTTAGCGTACAGAAGACAAAAGTCAGTGTATGGAAGACAAAAGTCAGTGTACGGAAGACAAAAGTTAGTGTAGGGAAGACAAAAGTTAGTGTACGGAAGACAAAAGTCAGTGTAGGGAAGACAAAAGTTAGTGTAGGGAAGACAAAAGTCAGTGTACGGAAGACAAAACTTGTGTACGGAAGACAAAAGTCACTTGTACGGAAGACAAAAGTTAAACATAAGTGTAGGCAAGACTCAATCAAGGGTTCCAGAGTGTTTGGAGAATTTAAATGTAAGGGTCCGCAATGAATTCAAGAATCGATGAATAAATGTGGAATTGAAGTGGCCAATTACATTTCCCGACAATGATTAACGTTCAATTAAAGGGGCCAGCTAAGATTTTAAAATAGTGAATGACTTCTCATGAAAAAGGAATCCAGACCCTCGGAATAGAGCCAGAGAAATGTGAGAGTGTGTGCATGTGGAGTGTTGTCTTGTGTTAACATAGAAACCATACTCACTCCTCCCCATATCTTCTTTCACACAGCTCTGCCTGCTAAAATCTGGTTCTTCCTGCTGCAGTGACTGGTCTCCGGGTCCGCATCTTGAAAACAGAGAAACAAATTAAGTCAACATACATGTATAATGACAACAGCAATAATGGATTGCATAAAATGCATTACTAGTAAATATATATTCACACAACATGCAACTTTATGACAGTTGGAATGTAGCTAAAATTATAAATCATATTCAACTTTATTCTCAACATAAAAAAAACACATGATTTCACTCAAAGAGAACTTCAAAAGTCACCAAAGCTATTTTAATCTTCGACTAGTCTTTCTCAATTATATCATCAGCCATCCATAAAATGTCAAAGGATGTAAAGGTCCAAAGTGCTGAAAAAGGAAACTAGAAAAGCGTGACGTTCTGTATAATTAAATAAAAGTGAACTACTGACTCAGAGACTTACTTTTGGAATGTCTTAATTTCCTTCAGCATCTTCAAGTCAACTGGTTTGCTGATCCGTCATCACAGGTTTCTCCCAGTCAGGACAGCTGACCCTCTGCACAAAGCTAACACATGAAAGGATAATCAATTACTGTGATGCAATAAAAGATCCCCAGGCAACACTGAATCACCATACATTAAAGTAATGATAAGAACACAAAATTGAATCTCTTTGGCTCAATACAATATAAAAAGTGTTAGCTTTCTTTAAACTAATGGTTGTTAGGCCTCGCCTCAGAGTTTTTCACATCCAAGAAGAAAGGAAAAGTTCTTTAATACAAGTTGAAACCAATGTCTCACATGTACAGCCTCTTCACTTCACTGTGTCTTCAGGTCAACAGGTTTGCTGCATGCATGAGTCTGTCTGGTTTGGTCTAGTTTGGACAGGAGTTGCTCATCATCACAGGTTTCTCTCAGTCAGGACAGGAACATCAGGACACACCTAACTATGTGAAGATAAAGTTAAGTGTCATACGCAAAACATCTCCAAGCAATGCTGAGTGACCAAGAAATGAGAATGAATGAACTAATAACATATCCAAGAAAAAAGGAAAAGTTCTTACAAGTTGTAAACCAATGTCTCACCTGTACAGCCTCTTCACTTCACTGTGTCTTCAGGTTAATAACAGGTTTGCTGCATGCATGAGTCCATCTGGTCTGGTCCAGTTTGGACAGGAGTTGCCCGTCATCACAGGTTTCTCCCAGTCAGGGCAGGAACACCAGGACACACCTAATGATACAGGGCACACACCTAATGTATAATTTATAGATCAAGTTAAGTGTGATATGCAAGATCTATGGGAAAACCATAGGAGTGCTAAGACTTAAGACTTAAGAGAATCTTATGATTCAGAAGCATTGCCTCACCTGTGGATGCTGCGTCATCTTGCTCTTGTGTCTCCAAGTCATGCACCTGGTCTTCTCCTAGCCAGTCTTGTCAGGTTCAGACAGTCCTCACTACTTCACCTGCAACCTATTTATATAAAAATGAGAATTGTACGAACTGACCTGTCAGTGATGGACAGGTCAGTTCGTACAATTCTCATTTGTCTCCGCATTCCCTCGTATGTCAGCCTTCAGTGGAATGACATAAGGTGCCTTTGTAGCCTGAGGCCAGGAGACTTCGCCCAAAGTTGTTGCTCACCACAGGCTTCTTGTAGAATCTCTCCCACGTACTGCAAGACGACCAATTGGCTGTTCTCATGATGTCTTTGGTAGATACTCCCTGCAGTTGTGCTGCTGAAGTAGATGCACTGCGTGTCGAGTGTCCTGTGAATTGACGCGTGTCTACTCCTGCTTCCTTTAAGACACTCTTCAGCCATCTAGCTATAGTTGCTGACGTAACTGCCTGGTGGGGTTCCACCAGGGCACGAAACAAAAAACTATCACATAACCTAAAACTCCGAGTTCTTGATAAATACACTTTCAAATATCGAACTGGGCACAACCTACGGTCCTCTTCAAACTTGGGCACAATGATCTCTTGAATCACACTGCCCGGACGAGAAGTCTTTGTCAGCTTCTCTACTCGGAAACAAACTCCTCCTGGAATTCTTCGTTTCAGCTTTACATCCAGGAACGAAAGTGTCTGCTCCCTTCCTGCTGATACCAGTGCCACTAACATAGCCAGTTTCAGTGTTAGCTGACGAAGAGATAAGGAGTTGGCCGGGGACCAGCGGCGCAAGAAGTCCAACACTTGCCTGACATCCCAAGTGAACGAATACTTGGGTAAAGGAGGTCGCAATTCAAACAGACCTTTCATAAACCTGCGCATCAAAGGTATGTTCCCCTAGCGGACGACCTTCCAGGGGAAGATGTGTGGACGAGATGGCTGATCTGTACACGTTCACTGTGCGGTACTGGAGCCCTCTCTCATGTTGAGATAACAGGAACTCTAACACTTGACTCAGAGGAGCACAAACGGGATCAAGATCCCGTCCACGGCACCAGCTACTCCACTTGTCCCAGGCCGAGGAATATTGACGTTGTGTTCCTGCCCTCCATGATGCCAGTAGAATTCGGCTAACCTTTGTCGAAAAGCCGTACACCGCATGTTGTCTCCGCAAACATGCCATGCGGCTAGTTGCAGCTTGCTGCCCTCTGGGTGCGGCAGCCCGGACTCTACCTGGATCAGGAGATGCTCGTGCTGGGGTAGGAGAATCGGTTCTTCCACCACCATTTCTAGTAGAACGGGATACCATACCGCAGTGTCCCACACTGGTGCTATCAGGATCACCTGAGCTCTGTCCTCCCGCACTTTCTGCAGTGTTGGCGGGATCAGCTTGAAGGGGGGAAATGCGTACGCTAGTTCCCACTCGTTCCACCGTAGTGTGAAGGCGTCTGTTCCCATGGCTTCCGCTTCTGGATGCCACGACACGTACTGCTCCAGTTGTCGGTTGGTTCTGCTGGCGAACAGATCCACCCCCTGACTGAGTAGTGGAATTGTTGCCTGAAGGCTCAGGAACGTATTCCGCTCCAGAGACCACTCCGTTGCTACGGAAAAATGTCGAGAGCAAAAATCTGCTCGAATGTTCTCCCTGCCTGCGATGTGTTTCGCTGATAGAGACAGGTTCCTGTCGGCGCACCACTGCCATAGATCCAGCGTGGCGTTCAGTAGAGCGAGCGACCGTGTGCCGCCCAGCCTGTTCAGGTATGCCACCACAGTAGAGTTGTCCGAGTGAACTCTCACGTGACCATTCTCGATGTCCTTGCAGAAGGCGCGTACTGTCATCGACGCTGCCTGAAGTTCTAGGACGTTGATGTGAGCTCTGCTCTCTCTCTCTGTCCAACGGCCTCCGGTGTGGACGCCATTGCAGAAGCCGCCCCAACCTGTACCTGACGCATCCGATTCTACCTCCAAGTCCGCTGAGGGAGCGAGAATCGGTCGGCTGTTCGCGTTGGCCAACTGGTCTCTCCACCAGACCAGATCCGTGCGGGCGGCTGCTGTCAAAGAGACTTGACCTTCCCAGTGACCTCTTGACGTTCGCAGAGCTCTGATAAGCAGACGCTGAAGATTCCGGAAGTGAAGTGGAGCGTGCCAGACCGACGGTGCTGTGGCTTGTAGCTTCCCGATGATCCCTGCAAGATCTCTTGCTGACACCGGGCAGTCTGTTGACAGAAGTGTGTCTGCCATCTGCTGTATAGCTGACACCTTGTCCTCGGGAAGGTACATCACCATCAGTGTTGAATCGACGCCTGAGCCGAGGAAGGTGATACGCTGAGTTGGTTCCAGTACCGACTTGGATAAGTTGGGTACGAATCCCATACTGGAGATCAGATCGATGGCTGCTTGAAGCACCTTCCGACACATCTCTCTTGAGCGAGCGATCACTAGAATATCGTCGAGATACACCACCAGACGAAACCCTCGCCGACGCAGAAGTGCGATGGGTACCTTCATCACTTTGGTGAAGACACGAGGTGCTGTGGCGATGCCGAAGGGTAGGCACTGAAACTGGTAGAATCTTCCTCTCCAGTGAAACGTCAGATACTTGCGATCGTCTTTGTGAACTGGGATGGTAAAGTATGCGTCTGTCAGGTCTAGTTTGGCCATGTAATCCCCTGGCCGCACTAGATGTTTGATGAGGCGAAGACTCTCCATCTTGAAGCGTTGCTTGTGAAGAACTTGTTTAAGGTTTCAAATTGATGACCGGTCGAAGACCCCCTGTCTTCTTGGGTACTGTGAACAAAGTTGAAACAAACTGTGTGTGATGGTAGGGAACTTCTGTAACTGCTCCCTTGGTGAGTAAGGTTCTTACCTCCTCGTCTATGACTGCCGCTTGTGCGTCGTCTCTCGGTCGGGACAGTGGAAGACGTCCCTGAATTGGCGGCGTTGTCGCAAACTCCAACTTGTACCCCTGTACACATTGAAGGATCCATGGATCCGTAGTCACCTGCTGCCACTGATGAAGGAAGTGGGCTAACCTGCCGGCATGAGGCAGCGGAGACGGATGAGGTACACTTTGCAGTTCGGTCGAACGCCGGGCCCCGCTCTCTGTAGTAGATGGGGTGCTTACTTCTTCTGTTGTCGCTTCCCGTCCCCTGCAGGCTTGGAGCGAAAGGACCGGGATGAGTTGTAGTAAGATGGACGTGACTGGTAGCTGCTGCCTGCATAGCTGTAGTTGGTTCTGGGAAAGTAACGTGTGTTCCTTCCCCTGTTACCGCCTGAACCGGCACCGCCGCCTCGACGGAAGTTCTGGGATGACCCTGAAGCCTTGTTGGTCGACCCCTCCTTCTGCAGCAGCCCGGAGACGGCCTTGTCCTCTGAAGCCATCTCTTTTAGCCTTAGAGCCCAGATCTGGTGGAAACAGGTACTGGGGATCATCTGAAGGCTTCTTGAAGTTGTCTCTGAACTTCTTCTGAGAAGACTCGGACACAAAGGAACGTCGGGTGAATGACAACTGTGAATTCACTGATCCCAGAAGTGCCATGGCTGAACTAGCACAATCATTCATTGTCACTTGAAACTCTTCAAAACTATCCTTGTCACAACGTTGAATGAGTTGCCAAAGATTCATTAAAGGGCAAGCCACTTGTACAAGATTAGATTGTACCCCTTTCAATGCTTTATCGTGAGAAACGATCACCTCACTCTGCTTTTTGTCGTTCTCGATGACAGCACGGGACAAGAATCGTTCAGGACCGGTGCCACCATGTTGTCCGGCTTGTTGTCTGGCCAGTCATGCATCTTCTGCCAGCTCTCTAGAGCCTCTCCCCTGCACTGGTTCTCGTGCTTGAAGTACTTCTCGGAGAACCGAATGACAATATCATCGGCCTCCCAGGGCTCCTTGGCCTTGTTGGCTGTCGGGTCAAACGGCTCTAGGGCGCTGAAGTCATCGCCGCCATCGTCGGATGACGCGCTGTCGTCGGGAAAGGTGCTTGCCGCCCCCTCCCCTTCTTCCGGCTGAGCTGTGAAGCGCTGCCGCTTCTCTGCAACCGGTCCCTCGCCAGTCGAAGCTCGCCGCTTCCTCGAGGGTTCTGAAGACGTCAGTTGGTTGACCAGCAGTTCTTGAAGTCCGTCCAGCTTATCTGAAAGCAAAGAGAAATTCTGCTCTAAGGCAGATATACGTACGGCACTGCTGTCACCATTCTTCTCTTGAGTCTCCAAAAAGACTTCTTCCTCGCTCTTCTTCTCGAGTTGAGAGTCGACACGTGTGCCTTTCTCTCCCTCATGAAGTTCTTCAGACTCGATTCCGCCCGCCGTGGAGTCCACGTCGTCGCCCGGGGCCGTAACAGGCCGCAACTTGGGCGGCTGTGAATGTTGTGAAGAACTATCATGGCCGCCCCCAGGTGGGAGGGGGGGCGCCATGTGCTCGGTTCTGGACGCCGTCCTCTTGCGGCTGGCGTGCCTCGAGGAGGAGCGTGCGCGCTCCTCCCGCTCTTCGGGAGCTCTTGAACTCTTGCGTCGTCTGTCCTCGCGCTTCGAGCCCATTTTACCAAGAGAAAAACACCGGGGGTGTGTTGCCAGAGGCTCAAAAAATAAAGACTGACCAGTGCGCATGCGCAGCAAGGAATCATGGGAGTTTCATTCTGGGAGCTACCAAGTGAGAAATGGGGGTGGTCAGGCCCACTACACCTTATGTCATTCCACTGAAGGCTGACATACGAGGGAATGCGGAGACAACATCAGACATTAAACACTTATCTTGAAGTAAATACTGATGAAATGCAGAATATAGATTTTTCTTACCTCATATTCAGCCTTCAAGTCTCCAGGTCAGGTCTCACTCCCCCAATCTTGTCATGTTCAGAGAGAAGTCACCACTACTATTGTCAGTCAGCAGCCACCTTACTACAAAATAATATGTTACACCCTTGTCTCTAATTACACCAGGTAAATGGTTAAAAAAAACAGAATTCAGATTGTTCTAACCTGATATTCTTATGGGGTCTTCATAATGTCCAGGTCTGGTCTGGTCCAATCTTCTCTTGTCAGGTTCAGACGGGAGTCACCACTACTGCATCAGTCAGCAGCCACCTAACTATACAACATTAAAAGTTACGCATTTGTCTCAAATAACACCAAATAGTTGTAGGTAAAATGTAGAATTCAGATTGTTCTTACCTGACATTTTTCTGGGGTCTTTAAATGTCCAGGTCTGGTCTGGTCCAATCTTCTCTTGTCAGATTAAGACAGGAGTCACCACTACTGCATCAGTCAGCAGCCACCTAACTATACAACATTAAAAGTTACTCATTTGTCTCAAATAACATCAAAAGAATAGTAGGTAAAATGCAGAATTCAGATTGTTCTCACCTGATATTCCTCTTGGGTCTTCAAATGTCCAGGTCCAGGCCTGGTCCAATCTTCTCTTGTCAGGTTCAGACAGGAGCCACCACTACTGCATCAGTCAGCAGCCACTTAACTATACAACATTATAAGTTACTCATTTGTCTCAAATAACACCAAAAGAATAGCAGGTAAAATACAGAATTCAGATTGTTCTTACCTGATATTCATCTGAGGTCTTGAAATCTCCAGATCTTGTCCATTTCTTCTCTTGTCAGATAAAGACAGGAGCCATCACTACTCCATCAGTCAGCAGCCACCTTACTATACAACATTATATAAGTTACTCATTTGTCTCAAATAACATCAAAAGAATGTAGGTAAAATGCAATAGATTGTTCTCACCTAATATTCTTCTGGGGTCTTTAAATGTCCAGGTCCGGTCTGGTCCAATCTTCTCTTGTCAGGTAAAGTCAGGAGTCATCACCACTGCATCAGTCAGCAGCCACCCAACTATACAACATTAAAAGTTACACATTTGTCTCAAATATTTAACACCAAAAGAATAGTAGGTAAAATGCAGAATTCAGATTGTTCTTACCTGATATTCTTCTGGGGTCTTCAAATGTCCAGGTCCGGTCTGGTCCAATCTTCTGTTGTCAGATTAAGACAGGAGTCATCACTACTGCATCAGTCAGCAGCCACCTAACTATACAACATTAAACGTTACACATTTGTCTCAAATAACACCAAAAGAATAGTAGATAAAATACAGAATTCAGATTGTTCTTACCTGATAATTCATCTGAGGTCTTGAAATCTCCAGGTCTCGTCCAATCTTCCCTTGTCAGATTAAGACAGGAGTCATCACTTACATCAGTCAGCAGCCACCTAACTATACAACATAAGTTACACATTTGTCTCAAACAACACCAAAACAATATATAGTAGACATGCTACAGAAATCAGATTGTTCTTACCTGATATTCTTCTGGGGTCTTCAAATGTCCAGGTCCAGTCCAGGTCCAATCTTCTCTTGTCAGGTTCAGACAGGAGTCATCACTACTGCATCAGTCAGCAGCCACCTAACTATGCAACAACACAAGTTACACATTTGTCTCAAATAACACCAAAACAATAGTAGATAAAATACAGAAATCAGATTGTTCTTACCTGATATTCTTCTGGGGTCTTCAAATGTCCAGGTCAGGTCTCCATTATCTTCTCTTGTCAGGTTCAGACAGTAGTCCGCACTACTGAATCAGTCAGCAGCCACCTAACTATACAATGTTACAAGTTACACATTTGTCTCAAATAACATCAAAAGAATAGTAGGTAAAATGCAGAATTTATATTTTTCTCACCTGATATTCTTCTGGTGTCTTCAAATGTCCAGGTCTGGTCTGGTCCAATCTTCTCTTGTCAGACACCACTACTGCACCAGTCAGCAGCCACCGAGTAACTATATACAACATTAAAAGTTACACATTGTCTCAAATATTAAACACCGAAAGAATAGTAGGTAAAATGCAGAATTCAGATTGTTCTTACCCGATATTCTTCTGGGGTCTTCAAATGTCCAGGTCTGGTCTGGTCCAATCTTCTCTTGTCAGGTAAAGACAGTAGTCCGCACTACTGCATCAGTCAGCAGCCATCTAACTATACAACATTAAAAGTTACACATTTGTCTCAAATAACACCAAAAGAATAGTTGTAGGTAAAATGAAGAATTCAGATTGTTCTTGCCTGATATTAATCTGAGGTCTTCAAATGTCCAGGTCTGGTCTGGTCCAATCTTCTCTTGTCAGGTTCAGACAGGAGTCACCACTACTGCATCAGTCAGCAGCCACCTAACTATACAACAACATAAGTTACACATTTGTCTCAAATAACACCAAATAAATAGTAGGTAAAATGCAGAATTCAGATTGTTCTTAGTATCTTACCTGATATCCATCTGTCTATCTCCAGGTCTTGTCTAATCTTCTCTTCTCAGGTTCAGACAGTCCTGCAGACACTACTGCATCAGTCAGCAGTCACCTAACTGTACAGACATTAGAGGTTACACACATGTCTCAAATTAGACAAATTGTATGGAAAAGGCAAAATTGGGATTTTTCTCACCTGTTATTCCTCAAGTCTGGTCCAATTACTAGTTCATACTAGAACATACTACTAGTAAGTTTGTGATAGTGGATAAAATACAGAATTCATATTGTTCCCCTCCCGCCTGCTCTTGGCCTCGGAACACTTTGGTTTTACAATGAAGAAGAATGAACGCATAGAATTTGACTAAAACACACGAGACAGCAACAGACCACGTTTCACGCAAAGCTGTGCATGTTGAGGTCATGGGTCACATAAGCGCCCCTTAGCGGTTTATTCACATAGTACAAGTACTAGCCAAGCAGAGGTTTGGGTTTAGGGTTCTTTTGGCGTGTTTTTAGGCTTATTTTCTCGGGGTTTCTCTTTTGCACTGTAATGTTTTTTTTTGGGGGGGGGGTGAAAAAAAGTTCCAGTGCAAAAGAGAAACCCCGATGAAAAAGCCTAAAATCACCCCCAAAATACATTGTAACCCCAAACCTCTGCTTGGAGAGTATGAGTACACCTCTTGTTGTTTACTACAAACATGCAATAATACTTGTTTGCCTCGAGTCTCTGTGTGCATGTTATTCATTCTTAAAAATACAATTATGATTATAGTGAGTGATATCACTGAGGTCGTACGCCAAAGTTTCTATAAATGAAAGAAGACTTCGCATAGAGACATTCAAGGCTTGGTATAACCAGAGGTTTTCATACAGTATTTTTCGTAAACCTGCACGAAAGTGTACTTCTATTTCAGGATGATTGATTTCACCCTCATTGAATAGTAATTGATTGACCTATGTTCAAAGAATTGGTGGCTTCGGTGCCAAGTGTCTTTTCATATCGATAAATTCACTAGACCGCACAAGTGCGCCCCCATCGGTTGCTTAAAATAGTGCAGCGTTAAGTCGTGGGGGAAAGTTGCCGCATGCTTATTTTCGAAATTCTGTCTTTTTGCTTCGTTTAACTTAAAGGAGATTTATCTACAATACTCCAAAGAGTATCTACAATGATTTTAAGTACAACTTACCACCAAAACGGGCGTGGGGCGTCTTCCAGGGCGGATTTTACCCGCTCGTTCTTCCCGTCCATGCTCACTCGCCGCCATGCCCGTCTTCACTGGAACGGCGTGGCCTTCACGCACAGGTGCCACCTGTACATCATGAGCAAAATTTGAATTCGATAATCGAGTTAACATAAGATTACCAACAGGCCAATGAACAATCATCACACATGCACGACTAAAAACTACGATGATTTAATTGTGGCTTTTATCTTACAAACTCGAAATTCTCATTTTTTTTCTATCCTCGCTCATCAATACACTTTATAAATTTAGGAGGGAAATAAACCTTAGTAATTTTCCAATAAGTGATCTTTGTTTATTGACCCATTTATCTTTTAAATTGCGTCAAGAGCATTTTGTAGCTAGTACCAACTTTCAAACATCACAGCTTCGGGTGCTTTAAAAAGTGTTTATCATACTTTTGAACAAGCCATTTATCTATGTAACCTGCCAAATCCAGTCGCTTTCGAATGAATACCTCAGTTAAGCGTTTGGAACCACATTCTTTTCATTGCAGTGCTACCCTAGCCTCTACCAGGCTTCGGGAGGCGGCTGGAAAGAGCAGACCACAAACCCTGGCATGCTATCACTGAGTCTATTTGGCCGATTTCACTCTTTTGAGCCGCTTTCCGAAGCCTGGTAGAGGCTAGTGCTACCTAGCTGTGCTAAGTAGAAGCATTCAGTGTGAGGAATATGATGATGAATAATTACAACCATGCCAAAGAACAAGTTACTGTTTTTGTTCATTGAAGGGCACACATATGCACCGCTTACCTTAAGATTAAGCATATATCTTGACGAAAAAAGGCACGTCAACTCTTTGTCTCTCCATGTCTTGGCCTATGTGCTATACATATTACAGCGCTTTTAATACAACAGAATCACTACCGATACGTTGACTTGTCATCGGTTGTGTAAACCTTACAGAGAAAATTAACCTTGACATCATACTTACCTTCGCAAAGAAGGTTATGTTTTCGTGGCTTTGTTTGTGTGTGTCTGCCTGTGTGTGTGTTTGTCTGTGTGTCTGTCAACAGCATAACTCGACATGGGTTAAATAGATTATCTTACAAGATGACTTTATTGGTAATGACAGCGGGCAGTTACTGAATTAAACCAATTTACGATTAAAAGTTTATTATTCAAAAGTGTCTTAAGTGAGAATTCCAAGCGGCTCCCCTCAAAGGTATAAAATGAAAGTAATTTTTTACGCCGCCTGTGCTGCATTACGTGCAGTACTAAACTCTGTAGCATGTCGGCGCTTTTGCTCCACCGTTGAATAAGGTACATGTATGTGGTGTGTCGACGTAGATCCAGAGGATTACGTTAACCTCCTTGTAGAATCGAAGTTGTACAGTAATCAATTTATATTTTACGTTATTCTTCACTTATTTAGAACAACGTGAAGTGCGAACTACTCATATAACGTTACAAGACGTAACACTGTAAGTGTGACGTTATGTGTTTTAAAGTTACTGAAATTACATTTGACTCAAATAAAACAGGAAACGCAGGTCTCATAAAACATTTCTTGTATTTCGAGATAATGAATTTGAGTGATACTCCTCATATTCAGCAAGGGAGCCGTCCATTTTTTTTTCTTCATTGTTACAAATATTAAAATACGCCGGCTACATGTATCACAATGGGGGCACGGGACCACAAATATAGTACTACAAATACTAGTACGTCATCTCCAAGCAGATGTTGCGGGTGGGTGATCGTAACGTTTTCTGAGAAGAGTTGCTGTCAGAAAGCGTTCTAAATCTTCCACGCGACGTCTGCTTGGAGATTAACAGATACGGCGGTTTGTACAAAGAGTTACTTCAGTTTGGGCACATCTTTGAAGACATGACGTCTTCCTTTTCGTTGAGTCGCTACTTGGGCGGTGAAGTGTCGGAAAGGTGAAGAGAAAGAATTACAGCCTTGAGACACATCTTCTGCACAAACCAATGTAAACCCACAGGAGAGGGGGTGCACTGAAAACGTAGAATATCCTGTAAGGCTTGTAACATTTCAGTGAGATGGCAAGGATGATACAAGTTTATACACTGAAAATCCACCTTTTTTTTCAAATTTCTAGCCGTGCATTGACATCATCGTAAACTCAATGTTGCTACCAAACTGATAAATGCACTCGGGAGATTTGTGGCCATTTCTATCGCAAGTCTACGTATCCATCCTTGGAGCGGCTACAGGGTCTCTTCTGTCCCGTTCGCCCTCTTCAGAGACGAGGTAGCTACCGATCCTGTAGCCCCGCCCACCTCCGTCTGAACGAGGAAATGCATGCTAAGCTTTGAGGGGCATGTAACAACGCTCTCATTGGCCGAACCGTAAATTGTTATGCTTTCATTGGTTCAACTGATACTTGTGATGGACAGTCAGGATGTAGCCCCGCCCTCATTGGTCAAACCAATGAGTGCCATGCTACCATTGGTTCAACTGTTAATTGGGTTCGACAGAAAGGATCTTTGGGATGCTCACAAGATCTCATAGCCAAAACTTTTGCTGAGTCTACATGCTTTGAGCAAGGAGGTTTAAACATTTAAAACTATTTAAACCTTCTTGCTTTGAGTCAGGTTGGCGACGAAGTTGAGTTTACGATAACAGTCTCCTGTCAAGTATTTTGGCCTTTGTAGCTCTGAGTCTTACTGTTTCCATGCTACTGTCTTTTCAGCATGCCACCTCGTATCAGAACTTTGTACAAAGACAAAGACTGTTTCAATCTTGCTCCACATTTTTTAAACAAGGGCAAATGAGGTCAGATTTACAGAGAAAAGTACAGTCTTAGATATACCTTAAGTAGGCACCGAGGAAGACAACTGCACAAATGCTGGACTTACAAAAGACTTTTCTCATCAATGTTACTATTTGAATTTTCTCTGCCAAGAAACAGATAACAAAATTTGTGAGGCCTACTCTGGTTGCCGAATACGTCAGATGTAATACACAAAAGATTAATAACAAGTTTATATCAAATTATCCAACAACCAATGCTGTGCTGATGACACCGTGTGGAAATACTACATGTACAATGAGAACATCCGCCACATTAAAAGCTTCTTCCCCATTCGTCGATTTCATCATCGAACATACTATTTTGTATTTACAGACCAATAGAACAGCACTTTACATAATGTGCAGAATCTATCTGCATACACATGGTTACAAGGTTTTCCTCAAGTCTTCACAAGTTTGAACCCATTTGTAATGGTTCACAGGGCTGCAGTACTCTGTTTGTCCTCTAGAGGGCACTGTTTGCCCATCTATCTGACTACAGAATGGTCTTACAAACATAGCAGGAATACCAACTGTACAAGGGATAAATAATGTTCACAATGTTGTATTTTTATTCTAATGGTTGTTGTTGTTACTTGTATAACATTTTCTGCACAAGTAGACAATTCACCGGTAGATTTGAACAATTGTTTGGTACTGAACAACAGTAATTCCATAAGAATGTCGGAGTCACAAGCTTTTCTTAAACACATTTACACAAACCCTGACCCCTCCAAGAAATTGTAATCTCCTGCTTGTAACATTTGATTTTTTTTCTTCCTGGGGAGGGGGGCACCATAATACAAGATTAAATTTATAAAGAAAACACCCGTTTTCCACAGCAGATATTAGCAAAGACCATCCTGAGGATTCTTCAGTGTAATTAAAGAAACTTGTTGAACTTAATTCAGATCTACTGAAGTCAACATTAAATCTGTTTTCATTTTAAAAAGTGTTTGAAGGCTGAAGGAATTAGTCATCTGTAAAGCTGACTGTCCAGCAATGTTTTCTAGGATGCGATTGGCTGTTGTACTGGAACCAGAAGTTCTGATTGGACAGGACCGTCTTTTGTGCTTCTGATTGGCTAGAGTACCTCAGCCATGAGTTCTATTGTTAGCACCATTTTACAATGCTTGGATCTGATTGGCTGGTACACATAAGCTTTGGGTTCTGATTGGTCAGCACCTTTTTCTTTTCCTATGCTTGGATCTGATTGGTTAGTGCCTGTGAGCCTCGATTGGTTGGTTGGTTGATACAAAATACGGTATTAGGATGTGGCCTGGAAATGTAGCACCAATGTGGGAAGTGTATTTTCATCCACTTACTCCAACGGGGTTCCAGCCATGCAACATAACTCGTTGTAGACTACCATTTCTTCCAGGTAATGAGACTATGGATTGGGTATTTTATTTCTTGAGTGAGAAGAGCAGACAGACACATTTGTACAAGGAAGTTTCGAGTGACAATGTCACTCTTTAATGCTTCGTGTTCTGTAAAAAGTTTATGTTTATGCAAAATATGCATTCAGCTTAGATGATGATCAAAACATGCAGAAGGAATTTTAAACGAAAGGAATTTTAGACCGAATTTCTTAACACTGGCCGCTTCATCCTACAATGACAACAGGTTTTTGGTTGGTTTCCAGCTACAAATGTATAACATCTAAAGGTAGCTGAACCAAAATACAAAAATCCACAAAATAATTTTTACAACAAAATGAGGAGGAAACATTTCTTTAAAAACTCAGACGGTATTAATGTTTTGAAATCATGTTTAGCCATAGTCTCACCACCGACTACTCTCAAGCTAGAACAACAACATGGGGTCTTCCCTTACCCCCCCCCCCCTTTGTCTCTGATATTTGTCTAATATCTGCTGTGTGATTGAAAGGTTAAAGGATCTCTGTACATGCAGGGTGGGACAACTACCGCATGCCCGTTAGTCACTACACAATGGCCCGCTACACCGCTAAAGGTACGTCACCCGCTGGCCGTCTGAAAAACAGGGACAAGAGAGAAAAAGAGATTCAGTCAAGGTATGGTACAAAGAGTGTTATGGTAATTTTTTTCTCCTTTTTTTATGTTTGCTTGGTGAAATCTTCAGCAAGAGGATGGGACACAAAAAAGTGTGCTTGTGAGTAGCCAATCAGCATGCAGTTTCAGACACAACGACCAATGAGATGCCTTGGATCAGAACAGCCAATAAGCATGCCTGAGACACGTGAGCCAATGAGGTGCCTGGGATGGTGAATGGTGGTTAGTGATTGGTTATGATGAAAAGGGTTGGTGCTGATGACATCACATGATTGGTGCATGGTGGTTGGCCAGGTGGTGACAGTACAGCTTGAATGAGCCAATGAAAAGCCAGCTCTCTCCTTCAAACTTGTAGCTCCAGCCAATCACAGGGAAACGTACTCTGTAAATGCTCAAATAACTGCTTGTGTGTATAATGTTATTTTCTGATTACAATTCTGCCTACCTATATGATATTACAAAAATGGTAAAAACTGCCAGTTGTATCCATACAGCCTGTGTAAGAACTGTTAAGCTGTGAAATATATATATATAGCAAAGTAGATGTCAGATGATGTGCTTATGATGTAAAAGCATGTATTACTATATCACCATACAGCTCAGCTTTGCAAGTCCTTCTTGTTCACATTTTTACAGAGGGTATTGTAAAAAAAAAAGCTGGCTAGTGCAGGGAAGCAGCCTTAGTTTGTGTGCCACAGTGACATGGTTACTTTATGCAACTCTATTGTACACCTAAACAAAGGAAAAGTGTACCAATAGCTGTATGTAAGGATGTCCCAAACATGAAGTAGCCCTGTTAATATGGCCTGATGATTTCCTATATCTACAATACAGACTTGAGCATAAGGAATGCTGGTGCTCAAATATACATGTACTGTTGGTAAGCACATTGGTAGGACGTACTGCACCTGCACGAAACCTATAGTGTAATGTATTGTGTAATGTATTGTGCATAACACTTCGGCATAACGTCTTGTTTAAGGTGCTATTCGTTTATTTAAGGATGACAATACGAGTCCGACTCGACAGTTTTCGATTGTTGTCTCAGGAAAGATATTGTCCAAAGTAGGGAAAATTCTGATGACACACTTGCCGAGTGTCCAACGAAAACCGAGAAAAGTCCTGGTTTCGTGCAGGCGCAGTACGTTCTGCTGAAGTGCCGTTTGTAAAGCTATGCTACCATCTCTGTTTATGTTAAATGTAGTTTACAAGTAGTTTTTTAAAGGCCAACTGATAAAAACAGTAGCACATGTCAAATTCAACATATGAAACTAGTTTTGTACTATTTACAAAAAAAAATGTCAAGACAGTCATGACAACTCAAGGAAAGGACACTTCTTTCTGAACATTCTTAGAGAGAGTTTGTACCTTCAAGACATTACTGAATCTTACAGAAGGGTCTTCAGGTTCATTTTCTAGCAGGCATTAAGGTTTTATTACTAAAAAACAATAAAAGCATTGTTGGGCATAAACCTTAAAAAACATTTTCAGCTGCAAGCAAAAGTTATTACTTAATAATAGGTAAAAGCTGACTGAATTGGTTATGTGTTATATGTTTTTTTCCACTAACTTTTCAAATATTTTTTAAAATTGGGGATGGATATTTCATGATTCAGTTGACTCTGTTGAATGGTCAATGCAAAGTGTATCAAAGTAGCTCAAAACTGTTTACAATAAAACAAGCCGAAAGTTGCCTCTGTACAAAAAGGACATTTCAAATTAATTCTACTTGACTTTTTATCTGTATCAACTTGAAGGTATACATGTGGAGGTCAACGGAACAAAAATTACAGACAATAGCCAAGTACTGGTGAGGTGAGGATGCTGGATTTTAGATGTGGCTTCAACAAAATGTTTTTTTCTGCTTGTTAAGATGGCAGATACATCTCATAAGCTAAGTCCTGTCAATTCTACCCACATTTTCCACATTATCAAGGAAAATAAGGCCCTCCTGAACATTTTTAGTACAGAGAGAACGAATTTTAGACCTGCATACTACAAAAGGTCCACCTTTTTTTGTCTTTTCAATCCCTTTATCAAATTTCATTGTGGTTTATGCTACATTTTTTTCAGTAAAATTGATATGTAGTGCACTGTTCAAAGATCACCCCTCTAACGGTGACCGACGTAATTTTGTCAAGTATCGAAAACCTGCATGCTACTATATAAAAGTTTTCATAGCCACACCAATTCAATTTGTTGGTTCTCAGACTGTTTTAAAGAAATATGGTTCACTGGAAAAACTTATGAAGACAATGTCTGAGGACCAGGTTAATGCCTTGGTGTACTCAGTTTTATGTTGGAATTACATTGGTGTGGTCTAAAAAGAGGGCAAGAAAAATCATACGCTAAAAAAAATGGTGTCTCAAACATCGATCTGTGAAGGAAGGAATTAAATTGGTGTGGCCTAATCAGAGGGAAAAATTATATGCTAAAAAAAATTGTGTATCAAACATCAGTAACTGTTATTTCACAACCTTCCGATTCCTCCTCGTATCATTATTTCCAACCCAAACAATTGTATTAAAATGTCTGGGAAGCAAGGAATTAAATTGGTGTGGCCTAAAAAGAGCGGGAAAATTCATACGCTAAAAAAATGGTGTCTCATCAAACATCGGTTATTTCACAACCTTCCCACTCTCTTCCAAACAATCATTTCAAAATGTCTGAGAACAAAGAAATTAAATTGGTGTGGCCTAAAAAAAGCGGGAAAAATCATACGCTAAAAAAATGGTGTCTCAAACATTGGTCTGAGAAGCAAGGAATTAAGTTGGTGAGGCCTAAAAGGCGGAAAAAATCATACGCTTCAAAAACGTTGTCTCAATCATTTCAAAATGTCTGAGAACCAAGGAATTAAATTGGTGTGGCCTAAAAAGAGCGAGAAAAAACAGTACGCTAAAAAAATGGTGTCTCATCATCAAACATCGGTCATTTCACAACCTTCCCACTCCTCCTCGTCGTCTGTGTCGGACAGGTTCTCGTCGTCGACGTCGTTGTCGCTCATGTCGGGCGTGATGCTGTCGCTCGACGCGCTGGACGTACTGCCGGTGGACCTGGCGGGGAGACATGAAACAGTCAGCAACAATAATGTCAACAATAATGGTGGCAAGCTAGACCTGACGGGGAGACATGAAACAGTCAGAAACAATAATGGAACACGTTGGCAGAACGTACTGAGCCTGCGCAACACCCACATTCTTCACGGTTTTCGTTGGATTTTTGGTCAATTTTGCCTGTTGCAGATGATATCTATTCAGAAACTACAGACAGGATGTTAACCTTATATACGCTAATACGACCTTATATGAGACGTTCTGCCAAAGTGCTATGCACAATACATTATGGGTTTCGCACAGGTGCAGTACGTTCTGCTGTGGCAAGGTGAAACTAATGGGGAGACATGAAACAGTCAGGAACAATAATGGTGGCAAGGTAGTCTTGTGGTTAGGATAGTTGACTCAGAAACCGAAGGTTCTGGGTTCGAGTCCCTGTCTCTGCAGGTAATATAACCCAAGACACTTATCAAGAAGATCTGAGGGATAAGCTTGTGTGATTGGCTAAATACAAAAGTCACATTACTCTAGTAGCTGATGAAAAACTTAAAAGCATCATGCATGCATTGAGGTCCTCAGTCTGAGGTCGCCTATTTTGGCATCAGCAGTAAACATCGATTTGGGTCAAATAACAGATGTGTGCAGGACTGGTAGAAACTAATAAATCACTTCCTGTCAGTCTGTGGTTACAAAATTCCCACCCTCACTTCTTGTGACTCTACTCTTCTCACCCCTGACAAACAAGCAAACAAATTGGCAGACGCACCCAAAACAAAACCTCCAAACACGGAGGTAATCACACGGACCACTGCACTTCGAAAGGCTGCACCTTTCTGTGATTCTGGAGCTCCGTAGAGCACATGGTGACATACTCACCTCTGGTCTGACTTGGGCTGTGTGGAATTTCTACTGGTCTCCTTGGCTTTGGGTTCCTCTGGTTGGGTGAAGATACACGTGACCTGGGGGGAGGGGGGACAACAGAGTTTATTCACTTTCATGTAATCAGTAGTGTTTTCTAGATCAAAATGACTAGTGTTAAATTTTCAATCTGTATAGCTGGTATAACTGCTCTTCAACGCAACACAAAAGCTTTGCAGACACATGGTGCAGCAGCTCATGCTTACACTGAAGGACCTGTTACACCTAACCTTTGCACATCTACATTTGGAACTGCAAGTGATGTAAAAAAAAAACTATCTAGATTCTTCATTGACTCGACAAAAGTGCAGGGACTTTGATATGGTCTACTAAGTAAGGATGCCGTAGCGGCAACAGTTTCATTCTACAATTATAGTTCTAGGGAGAAACAATTTTTTCAACACCTCAATCCTAGGTTGATAACTCTGGTACTTGAAGACATGACTACTTCTTGTTCTTTTCTTTGCAGATATCACAGGGCAGAGTTAAGAAGGACCAGGGCTTGAAATACTGGGTGCATGTGCACCTTAGTGCACCCAATTTGTTTCTGTGGGTGCACAAGTGCACCCAAATATTTTGTAGGTTTAGGTATGTAAAGATGTTAGTAGTATACAACATTCTTAACATCTAAGTGTCAGAAAAATGATAAAATCATTGTTACAGTACTTTTCTTTAGAAATGAAACATAACTAGAAAGGCCAATATTTGCTTTGGAGCAAATACAGCGATGGGTTCACCACATTTTACCACATGGCAGGGAAAGAATGAGAAACACAAGGGAAAACAATGATTTACATTGATATAACTATAATATGAAGTAACATAAAACTAAAACAACAGTTGGATAGCTATTCCCTACTTTATTGGTTAGGATTTTTAATTGCATAATGCAAACTGTTGATTTTCAAAATAAAAAAAAAACGTTCATGCCCCGCATTCCAATGCTGGAGCAGAAAAGCTTGAAATACCTACCAAAACACTTGAATAAAGACATACTGTCAGTATGGAAATACTCTGTGCAGGTGTTAATCAAGTTAAATCCCAACAGCCAATCAGCAAGAAATGCTCTGTGCAGGTGGAAATGCTCAGTGTGCAGGTGTTAATCAAGTTAAATTCCAACAGCCAATCAGCAAGAAGTATAGAGGAAAGCTGCATGCCTATTGGTTGATGCCCTGCATTCCATTGTGATGACTCATGCCCAGACGTGGTAAACATGGCACACTAACACAGTAATACATTAGCTATAATACAGCCAAAAAACTCAAATAAAACCATTCTAAAAGCCTGTATCACAATAATTTAAAAAACGCCTAGGGGTATTTGCCCACTGTACCTCCATACCAAATTTCAGGACCTTAGGCCCTAAAATGAAGAAGCTGAATCCATTTAAAAAATGGCAGGAGAAGGAGAAGGAGAAGGAGGAGAAGAAACATCAGAAAAAGCAATATGGTTTCACCACACCACTTCGTGGTGTGGTGAACCCATAATTAGTATTTGCTGACATTCTACTAATTCTATCTTATATGGTGCACCCGGAAAAATTTTTGTGCACCCAGTTTTTTAGGTTGGGTGCACCAGTGCACCTATTCCCAAAAATGAATTTCGAGCCCTGAGGACTGACCTTGAAGTTGGGTGAGAAGAGTTTGTTGCTCTTGTCTTTGTTGGCCTTGTCGATCTGGTCTTTCCTCAGCGTCAGCACCAGTGTTCGACAGCCCGGCGCTAGTCTGTCTGTTATACAGTTGGGAGCACAACAACCACCGTTGCTACCCACCGTCTCCTACAAATAAACAAAAACAACATTCGTAAAAATAATTTCATCAGGTTGGTAAATGAATGAATACCAAAGTTCTTTGATCACAACCATTTATTTTTCACGAGCCGACGTTTCGATGACCGTCTGTCATCTTCATCAGGGAAATTCTGACTGGTTTACTGTGCACTGACGCTAGATGTTACTTGTATGTCACAATTGCACTACGTTCAGAAATGCATTGTTAACAGTAAAAACTAGCTTAAGTGCACTGTGAACCAAGTAACAGTGCATTGTGAACTTTGTAACACCTTTAGTGCACTATGCACCAAGTAACATCTAGTGTCAGTGCACAGTAAACCAGTCAGAACTGCCCTGATGAAGATGACAGGCGGTCAATCAAAACGTCTGCTCGTGAAAAATAAATGGTTGTGATCAAAGAACTTTGCTATTCATTCGTTGCAACGCATTATGTATATGCCATGGGTTTAGATCCAGACTTTTAAGTGTGTATTGCAGGAAATATTTCTGAATTGCAGAACAAAATTTTGACATTCTGCAATATTGCAGAACACTGCAAAAAATTTATTTCTATCACTGTTAGTGCAGGTAAAGTTGTAGTTGTGCAGGTATTTCTGATGTCTAAAAAAAAAAACGCATGGCTTTTAATCACATTTTGCACCACTCTTGATCATATCATTCACGAACGTAGATGGGAAACTATATTCCTGATCTGTACTGTAGATAATCCTGTCTTTCCATCTTTTATCACGACTAATAAAACATACATGTAATCTCTTCTGATTGCAAGCTCCTGATGTAGGCTTTTCAATTTAACCTGCCATCATGTATTGATATTGGCCGTCAAATTCTACTAGAATCTCCTAAAGCTGATTGCTATGTTTTATGTAATAAGTCTCGGCTTTAACGACTGACCCTAACGAGGAAGAAACTGCCTCCTGAAGTATAATGTAAGCCTTTTTGGTTATACTGCATACTAATGATATGATGACATCTTTCTCTGAACAAGCAAGGCAGAGTGGTTCGGGTAGCAGACACGAGAGGTCGAGGGTTCGATCCCTGACATTCCTGGCTAAGTTTTTGGTACTTGGGAAAGGCACTTCACACAACTTTCCTCACTCCACTCAGATATAAAAATGGGTACCTGTCTTTGGTTGGGGAGGTAAAAGGCAGTGGAAGGAGAGGGATGGGCTCCGCCTTCCAATACCATGCCCTAGATAGAGTGTATTAACAACCCACTGCCCCTACGGCCTGAAAAAGTCTATGGGACTACCTTTACCTTTTGAACAAGGAGACTTTATCTCTATCTAGCTTCTGTTTAAATATAAACTGACTTAAAATAAAACAAAACATAACCGTGAGACTTAGAAAGCATTGTGCATTCAATGTTACTAATTCTACCTTGTCCATGGCCAAAGCAAACAAACAAACAAACCTTTTCCATGACGTTGCAGGCCTGTAAATGCGGGATCTGTCCGTTCCTGAGCTCCGTTATGTCTCCTTCTCTGACAAAGAAGGTGTTGAACCAGAAGTGGCACATCTTGTCCTGTAAAGACATGGAAAAATCATTGTTTCTGACAAAATTTCTGCCGTTTTATGTACAGTATTGGTACGAAATTGAATCTACCAAAATCATCTTGCTAGGTTTGTGAAAGAGTTCTAGTCTATTCTGATGTCTCCATGGTAACTATGGTAACTATGAAAACCATGACCTATGGTAACTATGGTAACCATGACCTATGGTAACTATGGTAACCGTGACCTACCCTCTTCATCATCTTGTTAGGTTTGTGAAAGTTCTATTTTGATGTCTCCATGGTAACTGTAGTAACTATGGTAACCATGACCTATGGTAACTATGGTAACCGTGACTTACCCTCTTCATCATCTTGTTAGGTTTGTGAAGCAGTTCTATTCTGATGTCTCCATGGTAACTCTGGTAACTCTGGTAACCATGACCTATGGTAACTATGGTAACCGTGACCTACCCTCTTCATCATCTTGTTAGGTTTGTGAAAGTTCTATTCTGCTGTCTCCATGGTAACTAAGATAACTATGGCAACCATGACCTATGGTAACAAAGGTAACCGTGACCTACCCTCTTCATCATCTTGTTAGGTTTGTGAAAGTTCTATTCTGCTGTCTCCATGGTAACTACGGTAACTATAGCAACCATGACCTATGGTAACTATGGTAACCATGACCTACCCTCTTCATCATCTTGTTAGGTTTGTGAAAGAGTTCTATTCTGATGTCTCCACACACAGGCAGCGGCTGAGGTAACACTCCCAGGATAAATCCTCTGTTTTCTCTCTTTGCACCCTGGGAGGAAAAAATATCAGAAAGACCTCATTAAGTCTATTTCATAACTGTATTACCTTACATTAACAATCAAAAAACATCACGTCAGATTTCTGACTTCCCAAATTGTATTGGGTAAAACTGTACTGTATGATCAGAAGTTAATACCCGATTGAATTACATTATACAAAAGAAAGCACAGTCTTCAGGAAGAAAAGTTTGTATGTTGGTACTAACCTCATATACAGGTGACGTGTACAATTTGACATTGTATTGTGTAACAACAAACTGAGGACCTGAAAGAGAGAGAAAGAACTGTCAAAGTCTAAAACATGTATCTGGAAACAACTTGTGCCATAAATTCAAAAAGAAATAAACCCTAATTTTGGACTTGCTATTAGAAGGAAAAAAAAGGATTTTGGGCCACAACCAATGGCTTTTTTTGGGGGGAGGGGGTATTCTGAATGCATTTAGTTGTAAAGTCTGCCACGACTAGTTTTATACATTGTAAGCATTACAACATTGGTGCTTGTCATATTCAACATGGGGACTGAATTGAAAGTTTGTTTGTTTGTTTGTTTGTTTGTTTGTTTGTTTGTAAAAACAACAAATAAAGAAACAAAACTAATTACAGGAGCCACCAGGTCCAAACATGGGACTGGATTGAAACTTTGTTTGTACAAACGACAAATAAACAAACAAAACTCACTACAGGATACCAGGTCCAAACATGGGACTAAATTGAAACTTTGTTTGTAAATAACAACAAATAAACAAAGAAAACTGACTACAGGAGCCGCCGGTGCTGAACATGGGGACTGTCTCGATGAAGATGGACTGCAGTAGTAACGTGGTGGGTTTGTACTCCAGGCCACATCTGGTCAGGTCCCAGTAGTACTCCACATATCTTCTCTGGCTGGGTATCGTCACACCCTGGAGAAAAAACAACAAAACATAAGATCCAAAAACTCAAAGTTAGGGCTCGAAATTTAAGGTGGTCCAATGGCCACTGACCACTAAAATTTAGGCTGGAACAACTAAAAAGATACTTTGGGACATTTTTGGGACAATGGAAAATAATCAACATCAGAATGTCAGCCCTTCTTTTGTTTATCAGGCACACGACGTCCCGGCTTTTGGATCCGGAGAAGTCTCCCCAAATTTCATGTCTACACTGCAATTACAGTGCACCTGGGAGTGAACATAAGCAGAATGAAGTTGACTTCAAGTTGAAGTCATACCCAAAAACCAGCTGCAGGTTGGGACAGTTCATCCTCACTTCGGACAACTGAAATTTATTTTTCGGACAGTGCTGGGACAATAGGAAGAAAAGTTAATTTCGAGGCCTGAAAGTACTACTACAGTACCAAGAAGCTGTTAGGGGGACCAAGTCTACACCACTTTTTCCTCAAACAATCTAACACCCAAAAATCAAAACTCCAGGACAAAAGATACAAAAAAACGAAATTCGAAAATCTGCTGCAATATCAAGGACAGATACATGTACCAGGAGGCCCACAGTTTGCCTTGGCCTTAAATGTCCCCTAGACCTACCCACATAGCACACATCATCACAATCCAACCAATGAGAAACACAGACACATACACACACACACAAACACACAGACGAAAAACAATACCTCCAAGAAAAACGGTAAAGGAACATATGGACAGACACTGGAAAGAGCCCTAGATCATATAATGAAGCAATATTAGTGATACAAGTAAAAAAACAGAGTGTCCTCACCTTTTCATTTTTGTCCTAGCCTGACCGTAAAATCTGAGGGCCTCGTCTGGTGTAGGGAACTTTCCTCGGTGTAGCAAATATGCGCATATCATTACACCTGTTCTACCCTATAGGCAAGAAAAGAACCAGCAAGGTTAGTAAATGACAAGTTTTACATGTTCCAGAAAACCACTACCAGACAGTCCTGGTATGATTTTGCATCTCAACAATTTTCTTAACGAAGTCATTGCTAACCCTTGTGTCTTCAAACAAACAAACAAACAAAAATGAAACTAACCTATCAGCAAGCAAAGAAAACAAACAAAACAAACTAGAAAGGTAACATTTGCAAAGCTAATGCATAATATTTATCTTAGCATATGGTCTGCTCTGTTAATTCTTACTCAAACACATTCATATATACATGTCAGACAGGAGTATAAATCCCTCCTACTATAAAATTGCAACATTATGTAACCCAACACCAGTTACCATGGTGAGAGACGTCAACAAATCAGGTCATTGCAATTGCTCAGGTCAGAGGTTAGTGTTTCGAATGGAAAAAGAAGATAAAAATGTAGCAAAAACAATGTTTTTCTTCTGTAAACATAATAAACAAACAAACAAGTGCGTGCCCACCTTTCCTGCCTTACAGTGCACTGCGGCGACGTTGTCCTCGTCCTCTGCTAACCACTCGTCCAGGTCGTTACAGAAAGGCTTGATAAGCTCCAGTTTGGGAGGGTTGTGATCTTCAAAGGCGTAGACTGCAACTGTGGAGGAACAAGAGGACAAGTTTATTGAGTTTATTGAGTTAAAACTCTCCTTTAGCTGGCCACCCGAGGGTGACAGCTATTCTTCCAGGAGAGAGTATACACATAAACGTAACAATACATCAACATGTACACATACATGTATACATCAACATACACAATATATACAAATATACAATCTTAATTTACTACCAATTCTATACAGTTTGTTTCTGTCTGTCTTTGGTCTGATATTCTGATATGATATGGAAGTGTATTGTACAGTAAAGTAGAGGAAAGATTTAGTAGCTCCGTTTGTTACTTTAGGCCATCCTGATTTAGATTACATGGACAACAATCTCTGGGCACCCCTAAAATGATGGGAGCGTGGAAAGAAAAAAAGTAGAAATCTGAAAATGCAATTTAAACGAGAATTGCATGGATTCTGCACAACTTTTGATTGCAGTTTGCATGATTTGTAGACGGTCACTTGAGATCTGTACCGTATCACACCAAATAATGTTATACCCAAACCATTCGTAGCTATTACTGCTGTTAAAAGTTATGTAAGCCAAAAATTGAAACTATATATAGTGAAAATAGTGAAAACACATCAGACATATCTGAATGCCACTTACCCCTTTGGTTAAACTTACTGGGGTCATAACTTCTCTCAGAGCACCTGAAAAACAAAAAAAATCAGTCATCACATAAAAAGCACTAGTCATATACTAATGGGCCTCTGTCTTCTTAGGATCTAGGTGCTTTTTAGTTGCTCCATAATACATAACATAGACTGGCCATTTTAGCACTAGGCTCTTGGCAAAGACCTTTGGTGACAAGGCAAGAAAAGTAAATGTTTCTTATTTTACATGAAGGAAGAATATGTAATATTGTACTGACTTATCATGTATGAAGGTATTAGACTTTGTACTAGTGATGCATACCGGTTCACTGGACTTGGATCCGGACTTGTAAGAATGTTTAGGTTCAAGTCCAAAAAAAACTAAAAGTCAAGAACCGAGTCCGGACTTATTACCATAAAAGACCATTTCACATGCTCCTTTTCTTTCCAAACCACCTAAAACCTTCCGTAGATTGCAAAATCTTTGCTGCAAAATGAAGAAAACATTGCCATCGGGCATCGTCAAGTACCGGCCTCCATGTTATGTGGCCATAGTTTCACCCAGACAACATTGCAAGGTTGCCAACATGCAATTTTGTATATGCCATGGGTTTCGGTCCGGACTTACAAGTCCGGAACTGAACCTAAACCTCTGGACTTGAATCCGGACCAGAACCTGAAATTGGGTTTAGGTATGCATCACTACTTTGTACGAATAGTTCAACATGATTCCAGACATTCATTTCACACTGTTGAATCACGTAAATGATAAATGACCTTCCCAGTTCGCGGACAAGACTGGCAACTTTCTCTCCAGACAGAAAAATAAATGGTCGACGAACTTAAAGTTTGCAGACATAATTGTGCTGAAAACTACTTACAAATTGTAGACTTTGTAGTGGCCCTTGTGTTTGGACTCCAGAAATCTGCAGAAGACAAAAGCGATGACGGATTAAGATGGATAAGTGGTCATTTTGCCCTGTTGGGGGTCTGAGCCCCAAAGGGAGGTGTCATTTATAATCATTACAGCAAGACAGGCATGGAAACATACAGGGTTTCTAGCGATAGACTCTTTAATAAAGTGATGGCCTTTTTTTCTGCAAGGCCTGTTTTGATTTTATTGACACAACAAAAGTACAGCAACTTTCGTAATGTCTAAGACTGCATGTAGATATACAGACAAATACACATTGGGTACAACGAAATTACATACAAAACAATGGATGAGTCAACTAATACTACTTGTTCTAAGGTCTAAGCATTCTTTGATATATTTACCTATTTGTACACAGTAAGGGTTATTACCTAGGATGAAATTAAATTTATCTATTGCATGAAATGTAACTTGAACTTGAAATAAAAGATAGACAAGTCAAGGCAAGGATGATGCAAATTAGTGAAGAAGCTTCTGTTGCTTCAAAACAGGAGCTTAAGTGGTGTCTGTCCTTGGGGCAGAGAGTTCTAGTTTGCTAAATTGAAAACTATTGAATCTGGAGCCTATTTTTCCTTCTGCTAAATTGCAGATTGTATAAATTTTTCTTCTGCAATCTTGAACATCTATCTGCAGATTGCAGACTGCAGACAGGTATTTCGAACACTGCAGTGTATAACACTTTTTTCATAGAAAAATTCACATGCCAATTTGCATGGTCACTCATTCATAATTCCATGCTTGGTTACGGTAAAAACATGCCAATTTGCATGGTCACTCATTCATAACTCCATGCTTGGTTACGGTAAAAACTATTTTCTTCTGGCTGACTACTACAAAGATATGTTCATGAATATAAGTACTAGTAGTACACCATGGAAAAATGATTTCCTGCACATTTAGTACACAATGCTAGATTAAATTCACCGTTGTATTGTCTCAGTTATATGCCCAACTATCCAGAAAAAAAAAAAGACAAATGAGCTACTGTGATGATTGATGATTCTGCCAAACAGCAGCACGGAAAATCCATCATGATTTCAGCAGGACAATGTTGAAAGCTTGGAGGCAGGAGTTCCTCTAGGGCTATCTGTAATTCTGGGCTTCAAAAAAGGACAGCGTGTCAATTTCTGTAGATTGATCGTTACAGACGCGATTTACACGCAAGGGCAACGTACTGACGATACAAAAAACTGCGTACACACGGGAGAGTATGAAAACTGCGCATGTGGAGTACAAAATCTGCGTACATTTTGTGTAAATTGGCCTGCTTTGACGCAAGTCAAGAACATATTTTTAGTTCGTACATTACAGTGTGACAGGCTGAATAAAAGTTCTAAACAGGAACTATGCGGCTCCAGATGTCTTACTGAGGGACGACTGGGTGTGCAAGATGTCAGTAGCTTCGTACATTAGTTACCCCAAGGCAGCCCCAAGGGCTGGATCTGAATGTACGTTCTTGATGTACGTCAACTATTTCAGTGGGTTGATTTTTCATGATTTTTTTTGAGGGGGGGGGGTCATGTCCCTGGATCCCCCTAGAAAGCTTGCGCCTTTGATACTTGCTTGTCCACAAATCTACAAAAGAACACCTAACAAAATCCTAGCTACGGGCATGCATCAGAGCCACCTTGTCCCTAAACCTGTCTACAATACCAGTTAACACTGCTCCAAAGTAGACAGAGATGGATAGTGTCTACAGTTGAAGGTAATTGTAAAAAGAAGGGGAGAAAGACCTTTACACAACTGCACTTAGATTTAATTCGTCTCCGCTCCAACACAGGTCGGGCAAAATACATACAAAGGATGGGTTGAAATCTCGATCACGCTTTGAGAACTGTAAGGTTTTTGTAGGTACACCTCTTCTCAAAACGATTGATTGGGTCGGCCTATTGGCTTGACACTTGGAGGGTGCGACAAAGCAGGCGTGATAATCTACAGAGCAGCAAGTGATTGATTGAGACTGATGGAGGAAGACAGACTAGAATACTGTAATTCACTTTATCTTCACAGTGGCAAAATTTCACAGTATGAGAAAAACGGACATGTCTACTGAAAGTAATCTTCGCAGTAATGGAAAAAAGAGAGGGGGTAAAAAAACAAATTAATGATTTGATAATGGTAATAAGTTCACGGTACAGAAGTGGCCATCAAAACGGTGAACATAAAAAGTACCGTAAAAAATTGAATTACTGTACAGTAAGAGCAACAGTTGAGATTTAGGGGTAGATAGTAAAAAGGATTTGGAAAAAACGAAAAGGTAAGTTTATGACTAAAGCTAATTTGCATGGAGATTTCTGTTAAGACAATGAACCAAAAATGTTCTCAGCTGCTTCCCAGAACTTAAGGGCAATTGTTCTTTACTTCACTGTCAAAATCACCTGCACCAAAAAAAACTACTGAAAATGGCCTACAGGACAACAGTAGATCTGACATCACTTCTATCTGGGGAAAATAGATGAAAGGGAAAACACTGCCCCATTTTTCTGACCCCGGCCCAAATAGGTCATGACCTTTACTGACCTACTAACCCCGATGACCCTATTTAACAAGCAGTTGATCATTCAGTCCCACTGGGTATACCTGAAGTTGCATAGCAGGCCTTTGAAATTTTAATTTTGTGAGGAAAAATAAGTATTTTCAGATTTTTGGTGTTGTCTAAGGCCACACCAATTTAATTTCTTGGTTAACGGATTCGCCGCTTCATTTTTTTCTGATTTGCAACAAAAATAATTCAGAATCAACTGCAAAATGCTCATATTTTGCCCTGAACAGTTGAATACAGTCCTTTTCTTCCTAGTTATCCCATATTTCAATGCAGTGGTATCATTAAAAGTTCCAAATTCATTGTTTAAATTTTGAACCAGCCTAGTGTGCTGACTTCATGGCTCCTATCGTACCATTTTGGGCCATAATAGGATGCCTAGGCCTGTTTTTATTTTCTTTTTTTTTCGCCCGCCCGCTCCATTATTTTTCTACAAAAATCCATTAACCAAGAAATTAAATTGGTGTGGACTAAGGAAGGATTTTAAAGTTTGACTAGAGTTTGCAATGTACTACCCCCTTTAAGTTTAATGGAATAGTCCTGATTGCTTGACCTCCCCAAGGTGACCTCACATGTCCTCATGACATCACCTGCCCCACCAAGGTCACCTTGAACAAGGACCTGTAAATGCCGCCATCACTTGACCCGACATAACCAACCACTCTTGTCTGGACAATTACAGAATTATAGCAAGCACTTCTCAATATAAAAGATGATTGACCATAAAGTTTATGATTCCAATTTTTTTCCGGGGAGGGGGCACATTTGATTTAGTTACTTTAAGTATGTAACGGATTCTAAGCTCAAAATGCTTTTCCTCTATATACCTGCACTAGTATAGGTAAGATTGAAAATTACCTGCACCAGTCAGAATAGTGGGGAAGTATGGATCATACTAAAAAACTGTGCAGATAAC